ATACGACGTTTAATAAAATAGGAACAAGTAGCAATAATTTTGGCATGTATCCCTTTAAGTAAGTACGATTTTCAGCACATGCCGGATGTTGGAAAAAATGCATGAAGTAATATGTATGTGGGTACATATGCACATAATAAAAAAAACTTACATATATCGCACGCTTGCCTTTTGTTTTCACTTTTACAATTTGCCACTGCAGACTTCATTTTGACTTGTAATGTTTCAATAATTGTGTGAAACTACGCACAAATAGTTAAATAGTAAATGTTTAGTTATTTGCCCACTGTTTTTGGGTTAGTGAGCTGAGGGGGAGGGGGAGGGGGCGCCAGTTTTGATATCTAACCCACTAGAAACAGCATAGTTCACACTTTGTAAAAAGTTGCATTTGATCCCTCGAAACCTTCCATATATCCCTGGGGAACCATTGGAAAATGGTCTAAAATTAGCATTTTAACACCGGAAATGTAAACTCGATAAACAGTATTTTTATGCAGAACACCTTTCTATTGTCAAAGGTATGCAACATTTATTGTGCATATAACTCCGGCTACGCCATCCACAGTATATATGCGTAGAACTCACTCCGAAATTCACAAAAAAGTGCACGTTTCAGATCGAATTTATTACTAAATTAGTTACCGCAAAATACAAAATTAGGTTTTACAATAAAGTGTAGACCCTTGACTACAAGTGTGTGTAAAAGTTTTTTGATCGGGTCACCCATTCGGACACAATAGCCCGAAATCATTGGGAAAACAACTAAACCGTACCCAATTAAATCCAGTTAAATTTGGTTTTCCTCAATCAACAACTGCACCAAGATGATGTCACGCACACAGCTGATTCTGTCAAATTCACAAAGAGCGTATTAGCGGTACCACGATGGGCGCAATCTATATTTCTCTCGATCGTGCAGGGAACGGATTTTATGGAAATTGCCTTTTTTCTGCAAAAGAGTAAAAGTATATTCGATTAAGAATATCCACGATTCAGCTTTCCCGGATTCCATATATACACATTTGATGTTGCCTTTTTGAGACATTTGCCATTTTTTGCCTTTCTTTTATTTTAATATTTAAACATAAATGTTCAGATTCGAAAACAGCGATTGTGAAATTTTTGTAAAATTTTTAAGCAAAAATTAATGGTGATTTCGTTTCTCCCAAAAAATGTTGACCTTCCACGGTGCAAAATATGTTTGATGTTACACTCAACTCTGCAAAAGGGCATGTTTTCGCCTTCTTGCCCTTGCCTAGCTACATCGTTGGATAATATACTCGTTTTAAGCAACCATATGGTTTCCAGGAACCGATCGCCCCTGACAAAGCTTCAAAGGGTGGTGAATGTGGCTTTTTGCCTTACATGAGTATTACTACGGTTATACGCACGTCTTAATTGCAAATAACAATTTGCAAAATGGTAAACTTTGCCGTATAAACGCTGAGTTAATTTTTTATTTGCAAATAACTAAATACAATACACGCAAATAAGTATTGATTAGTGGTACTATTTGCAAATAAGCGCAAGACGCCGTCATTCTTAGGTTTATTTTCTTTTTCGATGGTCATCCTATTGCCTTTTAATAATCACGACGTTGCCATTTTTAACTTTGTTTTCTTTTTCGATGGTCATATTATTGCCTTTTTATAATCAGGTAATAGTATATATTGAAAATAGCTTACGTATAAACGTAGTATATGACATTTTAAGAAACGAACACAAAATTTATTTTTGATTACATTGAGAAGCGGCTTATAGAGGCGCAGGGACCTATTGCCAAATTGGTGCTGGAAAATTTCAAAGCCGTTTTCTCAGCTAATGTAGACTTGGAGACGAAACGGGGTGTAGATAAAATTGTTAAGCCCCTATTCCTGATAATATGAAAGTTTAAAACGTTCCATAAATAAATTGGGCGCCACTTGTGTCAACTCACGTCGAGCAGAAGATTAGTACATTCAAGGTTTTTCTTCGCGAAAATCAAATGGAAATGCTGCCAGAAAACTTCATAATGCATCTAGTGGTTCAATTTTGCTACGCTGTAGAGATTTAAGTTTTGTTAGTTAAAAAGTCGAAAGTATTTTTTGATTATTTTTCGGTTTTTGTCTTTCGCTTTTTTTGGGATTTTTAGAGTCTTTTTCTGCCTTTTTTGCGATTTCTAGTGCCTTTTTCTGCCTATTTCGCTATTTTATTTTGCCTTTTTATAGGTTTTCAGGTCCTAAAAATCTGTGGCACTACACCATCACTTCTTATGTAAAATTTTCCGCTGAAACTGATTACGATGTCAAAATATGATTTTAATAGTTTTTGAGATATATACCTTGTTTATACGAATGTAAAAACCGCATTTACAAAAAAACCGATTTGACTCAACAAATTGTTTTTTCTGTGTGTCTTTATCACAGCGAACGGCAGTGCGCGCGAGTGACGAAAGTATAACACTCGCTGAAACCGTATTCAAAAGTAAACAAAATTTGTTCTTTTCTTTCGATTTCTTGTTTTATTTCTTTCGATATTTCTTTATTAAATTATTTGCGCGATTGACCTAAATAGAAGCAAACAATCATATAAATTCAAATTTAAAACGGGGTGTATAAAGAAAAACAAGCCTATTTTCACTTCGCGTGAAATGAGTGGTGTGTTTACACTTGTTTTCTAACCGATTTGAAAACAAATTCTAGTCAATACACTTTTGAATTTCTGAGCGTATTGAAATTTGGTTTATGCATCCGTTTTTAATTACAGCGAACTGGCTCAAAGCGATTTATGTGTCGGTATAAACAAGGTAATAGCCAAATTTCGGTTTCTAGAGATATGAAAAGTGTACTCACTTAATTGCATATTTTTTTATATGGCTGGCGAATCTTAAATTTCTTTCTACAATAGTGAAGCTTGTTAAATTTACTATCTTCTACGTATACGATATTTTCCAACCGGATTAGTAGTTTAGGAGCTAATCTTTGATTAATCTCATTGCAGTTTTTTTTATAAATTTTTGAAAAATGCTCTATAAATTGATAAATACAGGTCCGGCGCATTAATGTGAACACCGTAAAATATAAACACTCTAAAATATGAACACTTTTTATTTTGCATTGACTACTGTAAAGAAATACATGAAATTATCCAACTTCTGAGTTCGGGGAACCCCGTAATATTGCGAAATAAGCATATTTGACTTGCAAATTACAAGCTCAAGCATGTTCAAGTCATAAGAATTAATTTTTACGAACTTAGCTTGGGCACGGAATGGTTTAATTTTTGCTATCGGCTCCAAAGAGAATTTGCGATGAAAAGATAAAGCAGACATCTTAGAATGTCTGAAAAAAGGAACAAGTGTAATCAGGAAGAAGAAGCAGAACAAATTACTAATTTCTTTTGACTAGGTACATAACGCGTTTTATTCCTGTGAATGTAAGATGAGTTTTATTGAAAGAATTTTGGTTTAATATGAACACTTAAAATTTTTTTGATAGAAGTATTTCTATACTCTGTAATTTTTTGAACAAACCCATTAAAGTTTTTTTCATAAATGTAAATATTCATTTAAAAATGTATAATTGGTGAAAAGTGAAAAATTTTGCAAATGTGTACCCGCTTGGTTTTGATTAGTCCACATTATCGAGCGTGCACTGTACTTACTTTTATTAGGCTGCTAAAAATTTTTCCAGGCGTAGGTTTGGCACCGAAAATGAAGTTAGAAATGATAGTGTCAAATAGGGACACGATATCGAACCGAAAGTATCGATATGGTACTCATTTAAAGTATCGCTGCAAAAATATCGGGTACCCATTAGTATCGGATTAAAAAGGCTCGATATCGCAAATATCGATACCAATATCAAAAAAAAAAAAAGAAATATCTGAAAAAGTGATTAGAAACCTCCGAGCGTATTTCTGCCATGAAAAACAGCTTCTCATAAAAGCGCCCTTTGTGGCACAACATCGGAGGAGAAGCTCGGCCAAACGCTAACATATTTTGTAAGTGCCAATCTATTATTTTTACACGTAGAGATTGAAGTGTTGACTTAAAACACCGAGACCGCGTGTTCAAATCCCGCCACATGCAATCCTAACGATAGTAAAAAATTTCTCTTCTTTAAAGCCCAATTTATATCAGGAAGAGTTGATAATCAGATAAGTCTTGAAAGCAATTTTTTCGCATTCTCTTTTGTGTTTTCTATTTGCTTCCAGACGCGACAACTTTTATTGAATTCAAGTTCGTGGTTCTTTAAATGGGAGGTATCTGCAATCTTCCCCTTTCTTCTCACCTCCTTCGCCTTGGAATGAGCAGACTTGAAAGCAAAACTTGACGTGTCCGAAAGCTGACTAATTTGAGTTTATGACATTCGATACGATACTAGGATTCTGGTACTCGATTCCAAAAAATATCGTTTTAATCTATAGAGTAAAAAATATCGGTATCGAATGCCAAAAGTATCGATATGGTATCGTATCGTATCGAAATTCGTGTTCCTAGTGTAAAATATAAACATAAAGTGAAAAGTGAGGCTATGCACTGTTGGAATTTATATAATATCCACGCGGTTGTATAAAGCAATTACGTTTTGTCTTAAATCCCTGACAGCGTAATAAGAGATTGTTATTACAAGTTTTAATTTTATTCTGAATAGGAATTTTCTGATAAAAATCGTTTGTATATTGAATTCCACCAAAATCGAGGAATTCTCCTCGGTTGGCATCACTACTTTAAACTTTTTCAACAAATTACAAACAATTTCTGCTTCCGCTTTTGCTGGAAGGTAAATAAAAGGTCGGTGAACATTTTAAAATTATGCATTTTAGATTAATACGCTTTTGGAAAACCTGTTGATATGCCATTTATTACCTTAACCCGCTACGTCCTATATGAAACAATCTCTCTCAAAAAGTTATTAACTAAGATGAAGACATAATAATAGACTGATGAATTTAGTTCCGTAGCTGAATAGTTGTAGATCTCAACACTTAACATACGTACTCATTAATTTCGCCCTTAGAGACGCTGCGCCACTAGATCTCTCCTTACGCCGCTCACCCCCGTCACATTCCAGTCTGCAAAGACAACGTGTACACTTGACGTCGTCTTATGCAGATGCCGACGAGCAAATGATGGATATGGAAACTCTGCTAGAAGCAGGTAAGGAGAATCTATCAATGGACGAAACTGGCACCGTCACACCTGAACAAATCGTTTGTGCACCTTCACTGCCAAATAGTCCATCAATGAGTCCTTCACCAAAGCGGCGTGCACTCAGCCCTCGCAGTTCCGGCGCGGACAGCACTTCCTCGATGTCACCTCCTGTCAACGTCTCTACCGTGTGTTTAGTTGCAGCTGCCGCTGCCAATAATTTGCTTGATTTACCATTGCGTTCCATGCTACCTGCCGATATAGCGTTAAAAATCTCCGAAACGAATATAATGAATCCACTGCTTTCCAAACAAAATCTCGAACTAGCTTTGAAGCTCTCTGCTGCAGCAGCGGCTGCTGTAAACAACAATTCACCAACTGGAGCGAGTTCTACCATTGCCGAATTGGCTGCAGCGACAGCGGGCAAATCTGCAATACTCTTACCCAGTTTGGGTACCGGACCCCCAGCATCTAATAGCGTAAATATCGTCGGCCCAAATACCGCAGTGCAACCCCAAATTTATGTGAAGCAGGGTGTCTCCAAGTGCAAAGAATGCAATATTGTATTTTGCAAGTATGAGAATTATCTGGCACATAAGCAACACTATTGTTCAGCGCGCAAACAGGACAGTTGTGAAGACGAGACGAAGGTCGCAAACACATCACCCATTGGAGTTGGTGCGGCTGCAGGCGGGGTAAACACTACCCCAGTTGCTTATCAACAACTTATTTGTGCCGCTTGTGGCATCAAGTATAGTTCCCTGGACAATTTACGAGCTCATCAAAATTATTACTGCCCTAAAGGAGGTGGGACGATGAGTACCACTTCTTTGGCTGCCGCTGCTGCAGCTTCCGAATCTGGACAGGTAAGATATTTATGATCACATTGTTTATTTTTTGTTTATAAGTGTTAATGAGTTCTTGATTTTTTATGATATTCAGATGCCACTAAGCAAGGACAAATGTAGCAAATGCAAGACAATACATGAATTAGGACAACCTTGTCCACCACAGCCGGCACTGCAACAAGCTCAAAGCGGCGTACACCACATGCAAAGCGCAAATATGGCAGTGACATCTGCCATCACAGGACCCAACCAAAATCTCTACAAGTGTCCGGTTTGCGATGTAGTTAGTTTAACACCGTCCGAAAGCCGGAAGCACATGGAGACTCATGGTACAGTAAAGGCATTCCGTTGTAGTATCTGCCGCTATAAGGGCAATACATTACGGTAAGTAAGAAAACACGTAATGATGATTTGTTTGCCCAAATATTTTTTCTACAAAATTGATATTTGTTACATCAAACACGACTAGGAAATTTAGCACGGATTATGAAATTATTCCGACAGCTGAGCTTGAGTTAGCTGTTTATAAATATATGGGCAAATCTAAAAAACAGGTAGATTTAAAAAAAAAATATTTTTTTTTAATTTGTGATCACACCTATGTTGGCTATATGATTTTATTCGTAATCTCTTAATAAATTGAAAAATATTAGTGCGCTTAATTTTTATTAAGTGCATCAAAAGTTAGACGAGTAATAAGCATTTAGATCGCTTAAATATAATAAGTTGGGTTCAAATTACGCTGTAAAAGTTGTAAATTTAAGCAAAGATAGATTGATAGTTGAACTCACTTAATTTGGACATTCTATTACATTTAGACTTGCCCCGTTTTGTCAGATTGGCTCCGATTTACGAGATACCGGTACATGAAGATTTGGTTAAATTTTAACTAAATTATAAATAACTCTCTCAGTTTTAAAGTTATTATACTAAAATTTTGCAGATTACTTTTTTATAATCTTAACAAATTCTGAAAATCATCGCAATAGGCTCACTTTAACATATAGCTCCCATACATGCTTCTTCAGATATGTGGCTTGGCCACAAAGTTAACAGTGTTTATGATGAATAAAAATAGTACTAAATTTCTTAACTGCTTAATTTGAAGAGTCAAAACCCAAAACAACGTTTCTTAACAACCAGTTGTATGGCAGCTACATGTTATAGTGAACCGATTTCGATGATTTTATGATAATATAATAATATGATATGGTACAATAATAATAAAAATCATTCATGTGCAAAATTTTAGTAATGTAACTTCAAAACCGAGGGAGTTATTTATAAAATAGTTAAAATGTAAACAAAATTTCAAGAACCGCTTTCTCGAAAAATGGAGCCAATCTGGCCAAAACTAGGGGACGCTATTGAATTTAAAAGGCCCCAATTAATGAGGAGCAACTATCAGAACCTTTGCCCAAAAAAGTTCATTTGATACCTCGCTCGAAATATTCTCACTATAAGGAGGATCCTCATTAAAAGTAGTAAATCAGGATTTTAACACACTTCTAGTAAATTTTTTTTTGAAGCATTTTACAGGTATATGGAATATTTTATCTTTAAAAGTTGGTTTATTCTCAAAGCCAACTTCTGCTAAGTTATCAAAAAATTCGGCATTGTTTTTAGAATACAATACACTGAGGGGAAAAAATATTAAAATCAAATAGAAACGTAATTGATCGTACTATAAACGTCAACGAAAGTACTGTATATTGGTAAATATTCAATTCAATTACGCGCATATTAAAATGACCGCGTTCATACTGAAAAAGCATCCGCGAAGTGAATAATCAAGACAAAAACTAAAAAAAAAAAATTTAATTTGCATGTTGCCTGCAGTGGAAATCGAACCCGACCATCTCCGGATATCAACAACTTGTGGCAAGCATCTTTGCGCACTCAGCTACACCCAGGTATATAAATTTGTTTTCGAATGTTGAATATCCAGCATCACCACAGCACGCGATTTGTACTATGTATGTATATGTCTGTTGTCGCCCTCTCAGAGCGGCGCTCTGCATGCTTGGGGTGCGTATGTACACTTACATATACATACTCAGATGTGAACAGTCAAATACGTGCGTAATAAATTTTGTATGAAAAAATTATTTTTAAATACGAACATTTTTAAACGATAATCAAATATAAAGTATTCATTTTTACTATGCATTATTTCCCTCAGTGTACGTACTTATAATATTTTCAAAATAAATTGCTTCAAAAAGTATACGCGATAAGGCGAAAATTTTGAAAATTGTGAAAAAGTAGAGTTACATTAACGGCCCAATTCTGTGTTTTCTTGATAAATTTTTTGTAAAGAAATTTTATCAAGATTTTTATCAAGTAAAAGCTTCCCTCGTATTCTGTGTCAATATTTATAAAACAAAAAGCTCTACGATTTCCACATAAGTGGAACTGATTTCCACATGTGTGGAACTGATTTCATTGTCACATATGAAAAATATGGATTTAAAAGCAACAAAGCTTTTGACTGTCGTAGCCGAGTAGCTAGAGATGTCGACTATAATTCCGTGTGTCGCAGGTTCAAATGCCGGCACATGGAGTATTTAATTGTTAGAAACAAATTTATTAATATACAAAATGTCTACATTTCACATGAAATTTCAATTTGTCAATAGCATTTTCAATCTTGATAATTTATCAAGAAAAAAGCTTTTGGTTTCTGTGCTAGAATACCAATTCTTGATAAATAATAAAAAAATGACAAATTATAAAGATTTTCAATTTATCAAGTGCACAGAATCGGGCTGTAAGTGTACACACATGTTTTAATTACGCATAAAATTTCAAATCAGAATATGGTGAGCTTCAAAATTTATGACATAATAAACTTTTCATCTCTTAAAAATTACATTAAAAAATCTGTCGTTTTTAATATTTTCTTGAATTAGAGGACCTAGATTTCAAAAGTTATTCAACAAATTAATTCAAAACTGTTTGGAGGCTTCAAGTATACATGTATAAACTGTATCCAAAAGAAACAAGGTGGATATAATTTAATACGGTTGACAAACGGGCTCGATTATGTGCATAAACAGCTTTTAGTTGCTTTGGCTCATGCATTTTCCTCTTTAAAATGCGCATAAGCAGCCGAACAAATTCACGAAATTTTTGGGAATTAACTCAGATTCGGGCAGTTTTCGTTGACAACACTGATAAAAACGGCCATCTGTTGTCTTTTGTACAAGTAAGCAAACAAAGCACGCGAGCCGAGTGGTAAGAGTTACGGGCTACAAGCCTGTAGCTGCCAGGTTCGATCCTCGGTTGGAGCGATTGCGAAACAAATTTTTGTTTTTATTATTTATTTTATATTTTTTTTATTTTATTTGATCTATATATTTACTTTTACTTTATTTTATTTTCATTTGCTCTATTTTATACCACATTTTTATTTTACTATTAGTTAATTTAAATTTTTAGAGTTAAATTTTAATAAAAAGTCAAGAACAACCAACTGAAAGCAACTTAAAAAAAATATAGAACTTATAAAAAAGGATTGAAAACGAAATAAATGAAAATTCAACTGGCCGTGGGACTCGAACCCACGACCTTGCGGCTCGTTTATCCGCATAACTGCCGTCTGTTAGGTCAAAATTATTATGCACATATGTGTGCCAGTTTATATGCATAAGCTTTGCCGTCTGTCACAGCTTTAAAACAATGAAAATAGATCTAGATAACAAAAGTTAGATTTTTCCATATACATACGTGCTTAGAAATGAGAAATTATTCCCGTTATACCCCAACGAAAGATATCAATACCTCTCAATTTAGCTTAAAATGGTTCCAGGGATATGCCGCGTGAACGTGTAACCTGGTATTGATAANCTTTTGCGAGCCAGGGCCAGCCTTCCGCAGCTCGGAAAGGGTAGACCCCTCCCTGTGCTGCTCTCGGAGGTAGCTTAATATATTTATNTGTTTTATTTGTCCAGAAATTTAAGCTGTTAGCTTATTTTGTATGGAGAACTTACCCAACATAATTATATTGGCTTATGAAAGGTTATCTTGGCTTGTATATTGAACAAGAGGCATTGCCATTCAGCATCACAAATATTCCCCTTCAGCCAATCAGAAAGAGGCAAAAACTTGCTCTGACACTGNGGACACATTCTTCTGCTTGGAGACAGCACTCTGCATCTTCTTCAAGACGATCCGAATCTGGGCCAATTATTATTATTATTTTTATTATTACTATTATTATTAATATTATTTATTTATTTGTTTTTTTTTGTTCTTAGGAGAGGAAAAAGCTTTATGCACTACCCCAAGTGCTCTCTTAGCGCCTTTGTATGGCAGGCTCTTCGCAGCTCTGCAATGCGGTCATTCCACCAGTAAACCTGCTTTTTACCTGACCATGCTCTCCTCTACGGCATTAAGGCCTTGCATGCCCAGTGTATGCAGTGCATCGTATGCAGCTTAGCCCAATACGCCCTTTTGTGGATCTCTCCCGTTGTGGGTGAAATGCCTTGGGAATCTGCTAGGAGTGATGTGTAGAACTGGCGGACATCGACCCCAAAAGGGTTCCATCCTGGTTTCCTGCGAGTGATACTGNAAGATTTAGCTATTTGCTTGTGATGGTTGAATAAAACATGCCTAATATACCACTTCTCAGTACTGTGGCTAAATGCTGCGAGAGGTATGCATTATGAGAGTTTCAGATTATCCCCTCTATTGTAACATAGTCACAAAACTTAGCTCATCGCTGTTGTGATTTCTATTTCTATCCTTCCAAAGGTATGCATTATGAATTTTTCAGTATGTATGGGAGGCGCCACGGCTTCTTTTCCAATAACTCACATCTGGAATTAATTTTGTATACATATTTCGGTACCAGTGATGCTAACCGGGAGAGAATTCTCGGGGGAATCGGGGAATAGCTTAAAATTTTGGGAGAATTCAATATACAAACAATTTTTTTAGAACATTCCTATTGAGAATGATATTCCAACCTGTAATAACGGATTTAAAACATAGCGTAATTGCCTAATGCAGCCGTTGGATATTAAAGAAATTTCAACCGTGAATAGCGGCACTTTTCACTTGACGTTTATATTTGACACTATCATTTGTCACTGCGTTTTCGGCGACAAACAAAAGTTCGAGCAGTAAGCATTTCTCAATATATAGGCAATTTTTCCAAAGTTAAACTAAAAAAATGCAATCAGATACTTTGGAGGAAATTTTACTTACAAAACAACTATGCAAAAATAAAACCTCTCTTGATTTTAGTGCGACTTGAAGACAGATGCAAAGTTTTCATCAAGAAATATGAGATCCTAAGGAATATTCCGTCTATACCCGATATACATACATAGATATATGATAGATATTCTTTACGAGATATACTCAGAAGTATGAAATTT